TCCAGGAGAGCAGGAGAGGCGAAGGCAGACGGGCGGGGCGGGGGGGAGGGGAGAGCAGGGGATCGCCTGGGGCCCCAAGGGTGCGGAGCGGCGGGGAGGGGGGAGGATGGCACATAGCGAGGGGCCAAGGTCTCGGGAGGGATCGAGGACCCCCGGGTCCTTACCGGTCCCCAGGAACAAGAGCAGTAACAGCGGGAGGGCGGCGGGCCGGGCCATGGGCGGCCCGGGGCGCTGGGCCCGGGCCAGGGAAGGCTGCGTGTCCGTGTCCGCGAGTCCGTGGGTCCGGTTCCCCGGGCTACTCCCTTCCAGCTCCGGGGCCCGCTGTCGCTCCGCTCCGGAGCCTCGGCTCCCGCTGGGGCAGCTCCGGCCGCGGACACCTAGCCGCCTCTCTGACGTCACCGGAGGAGGGGACCCTTCCCGTCCCCTTCCCTCCGTCCCCCTCCCGCGCTCAGTCCTCTCCCCACCCCCAGCCAAGCCGAGCCCTCGGAGCCGCTCATCCCTGCTGCTCTCTGGACTCTAGCCACGCCCTCTTCAGGGCCTTTCCCTCCTGGACCACACCCCTCGGTGGCCCCGCCCACGCCACCAGGTTTCCCCACTAGGCTGCTTCTCGTCTTTGCCCCTCCAGGCATCAGCCTCTCCCCTCCCCCCGGGTCTCCTTTCCGCGCCCTATCCCAAGGGTTTGTGCCTCCTTCTTCCAGCCCCCACGAGGGAAGCGACGCCTTCTTCAGCCCAGAGTCTTTCTCGGCCTTCCTGGCTTCTCAATCTAGGTCTCTTGGTCTCAGCATCTCTCTGTGTTTATTTGTGTCTAATCTCTGTGGTATCTTGTCTCAGTGTGCGCAACTCTGTTTCCTTCTTTGTCTCTATGTATCTTTCTGGGCTGGTCTCAGTCTGTCTTTCTGTGGAATGGGTGTCTCAATGTACATTTCTCGGCTTGTGTGCCTCTATTTTTCACCTACACCTCAATACTTCAGTGGATGCGGGATCTCATCTGCTGCCTTCATTTCCTTCATGCCTGCATGGGCATCCCATGTTTCCTTCTTTCTCTTTCTAGCTCTGAACCCTAACAGATACCTGCCAATTATTTCAATACCCTAGGATGTAGCTCATTCGGACCAGTGATTATCACTCCTTAAAGGCAACTCACTAACGTCTCCCTGCCATTAGCTTTCAAATCTCAGCGAAGCATTTTTGTTCTCTCCTTAATCCAAAAACGATTCTTCTTGTCAGAGAAAGCAGGAGCAAAAGACACACTGAATTAGCCCTGCCCACTCTATGTTGACCAACACTAGTATCTCAGCCTTCCTGTCCCATCTTTTATCTTCCTCTGGTTTCCAACACAGCCTTTAAAAAAAAAAAAAAAGGCCTTTCTTTTGGTCTAGAAAACTCCCCACCATCCTTAGCTTAATCTAAGCCAGGGGTGAGGAACCTGCGCCCTTGAGGCCACATGTGGCCCTCTAGGTCCTCAAGGGCAGCCCTTTGACTGAATCCAAACTTCACAGAACCACTCATTCAGACTGATTCAGTCAAAGGGCCGCACTTGAGGGCCTAGAGGGCCACATGTGACCTCGAAGCTGCAGGTTCCCCACCTCTGGTCTAAGCTTTGCTGTTCCTGGCCAGATTCTTCCAGAACCATGGCCCTCTTATGTATCCAACCTCACTTACTTGTCTTGGCTCCCAACTTATCAGTGCCATAGGATTTTGAGCTGGAAGAATCCTTAACAATCCACTGTTCCAACTCCCTTATTTTATGTTGGGGAAACCGAGCCCCAGAGAAACTTACCCAAAGCCCCAAAAGTAGAAAACAGCAGAGCGTGATTTGAATCCAGGTCTTCTGACTCTTAAATTTATACCGCTTTAAAAAAATAAATAAATTGGTCAGTGAGTTCCCTGTCTCTCTGCGCATGTCTCTCCTATTTTTGCGAAATGTCGCTGTATCTATGTGCTTCTTCCTTCCTTCCTTCCTTCCGAGCTCAGCAGGGGTGCCAGCCACATCCTCCACGCATCCTCACCTGACTTCCACGTCCCCAGCTGGGAGTGTGTTCTCCCTTCTGAACTATCCTGAGAGTCCTAGACCGGCTCCCTCCCCCCACTTTGTATTTCACTAGAAATCTGGACTGGGAGTCCGAAAGGCCAGCCTTCAAATCTGGCCTCTGATAAATACTTGTTTACCCAATGTGTGACCCTTGCTAAGTAATTTGACCTTCCTAAGCCTCAGTAATTTCCACACCCATAAAATGGGGATGATAATAATAACACGTATCTCACAGGGTTGCAGTTGAGCTTCAGATTTCAGATAATTTATGTAAAGGCTTTTAAAAGCTTAGAGCTCAAAGTTAAAACCCTCCCCAGCCCACAGACAATAAACTGGTTAGCTCCCAGAGCCTCGAGTCTGCCTCTTCCTCTCTGGCTTTGCGCTCGGAATGCTTCCTGGGTAAGTGTTTGTTGAACTGAATTCTCTGCCTGCCTCTGTTCCATCCTTTTGCTTCTCTAGGAGTCTTTCTATCCAGGTTGTAGACAACCTAGGTCTTTCCCCATGTCCTCTTGCCTCTAGATTTTCCTGGGGATTCGCAAGGAACTGTTCAGAAGCCTGCAGTTGCTCCCAGCCCCACAAGGGGGCAGCACAGTCCTACTCCCAAGCTGGCCTTGGTTCTCCCATCTCTAAGGAGAAAGCCGGAAGGTTGTGGGAAAGATGGACTGTCTGTGTGTGTGTGTGTGTGTGTGTGTGTGTGTGTGTGTGTGTTGGAGGTTTGGACGGATGATCTCCCATGGTGCCCCTCGAATTTAGAATCACTCTCAGTCATGGCCCTGGTGTCTCCCTGTTTCTCTCTGGGACCATCTCTCCACACTGATATTGCCTCCACACCCCTATGTATCTCTCTAACCTTATGTCTCTCCCCTGGTGTCTCTTTCAGTCTGGATCACCGTTATCTCTGCTACTTATTCTTTGCCTCTGATCCATTAGGCTTTGCACCACAATGGAAAACATGCTGGATGCTGCGTTGAAGGACCTAAGTTCAAGTACTGGCTTTGCCAATTTAAACCCTCTCTATCCACCACTCTCATTTTATCTCTCCAGTCCTGAAGCCTGAGATGGGATTTCTCTTTGTAAAGACACAGAACAGGGCTGGCACAGACCACTGAAATCCAACTCCCTCATCTGGGGGAGGAGGAATTGAGGCCCAGAGAGGGGAAGGAACTGGCTCTGAGTCACACAGCTAACAAGAGAGAACCCAGGTCAGCTGACTGTCAAGTCTGAGGCTCTTTATTTTAGGAATGATAGTTCTTGTATCAAAATCACTTTATATCTCTTCAACTGGGGCTTTCTTATCAATAGGCTCAGATAGATTTATTTTGAGAGTGGAGGTTGGGTGGGAGGGTGGTTCAGAGAACTGAATTGAATTATCTGGACTTTTGTCTGACTCAGTGTCTCTGATTATGTTACTGTCTCAATTTGTCTCAATCACTCTGCCTGTAGAACAGTGTGCCAGAGTTGGGAGGAACCTTAGAACAGGGAATATCAGGGCTGGGAGAAACCTTAATACAAAGAATCCAGAATGTTGGAAAAAGAAGGGATTTTAGATATTAGAGACCATCCATTCTAACCTCCCCATTTTACAAATGGGCACCCTGGAGTCCAGAGGAAAAGGGATTTGCCCAAGGTTACACGTTAAAGTAGGGGCAGAGCTGGTCTCTGGACTTCCTGTCCTGGTCTCTCCTGCATTGAGAAGCTCTGTCCCTCTCCCACACGCTCCTCTTAACATTCCTGTGGTCACTGAGAAGAGAAAGAGGTGGCTGCCCAGTGGGGTCATCTGTGTGGTGTGAGGTGGTGTTGGTCACACCTGTACCCAAAGACCTCCAGCCCTGCTCTCGATTTTTTGGCCATTTTGAAGTCCAAGACACCTGCCTCACAACAGCCTTGGGAAGTTAGTTTTACAAATAGCCTTTCCTCTTTGTACAGTTGAAGAAAGTGAGGCTAAGAATGCCTGTGGGAGGTTAAGAACCACAAAACATTCTGAACCGAACCGGGAGACAGATTCTCATCTTCCCTTCCAGCCAAACAGCCTAACCCTCATTGAGGCTCTAGCCTAGAAGGGAGGCAGTGTGGCCAAGTGGAAAGAGCCCCAGGCTGGGATTTAGGACACTTCCATCCCAGCGCTACCTTTCTCAGGACCTTAGTTTCCCATCATTTATAAAATGGGCCCTTTGGGCTCCCCGAATCTAGGATTTCTTTTTTGGAAGGGCGTGCAGGGGGAAGGGAATTCTGTGTCTGAATATAAACTGTAATGGGCATTATGCAAATGAGGCAGGCCGTATGCAAATAGATGCCATTCCCCTGCTGGGGACAGAGCCTGGGGCTTCCCTTTATTAGCTGGGAGCAGGTGCTGGGCGGGATACCCTCGGCCTGTCCGTTGGGGTGTGCTCGACGCATGTGGGGGGGTCTCATGTGACTCTCCTCCACCCCCTGCCATCTGTCTTCCCTCAGATCCCAGTCTGCCCATCTGCCCCCAGACTGTCTCCTCTGTCTAGCTGAGTTTCTGGCTCTCTCCCCTTGGGGGTCTCTCCCCCTCCCTCAGCTTCTTTCTGTCTTTCCATCAACCTCTCTCCCTTGGCCTGAGATTTCTCATCTCCGTCTCCCAGTAGAGAGTCTCAGAGCCTTAAGACCACCTACTTGACATTCCAGAATTCAGTAGCCGGTAGTCGGCTTGGTGGTGATCAGGGCTGCCCAGGATGGAAGACAAATCTTCGATCCACCCCACCAGGAGGAGGAGCCTCCTGCCTCCAAGAGCTGGGACAGATCTCGATGTTCAGAAGCTTTTCCCAAATTGGCCTCGTGTTAATTTCCTCCCATTGTTCCTGGCTCTGCTCTCCGGGCCAAACAGAGTGGAGCTGAGCTCTCTTCCAGGAGACAGCCTTTCAAATCCTTGAAGACAGCCCTAATAGTCCCTGATCCTTCCCTTCCCCAGGCTAAACGGCCCAGATCCTTTCAATCCGGGCCCCGCAGGCCTTGTCGCTGACCAGCTTTTGTGCTATCCAGAACCGAGCCCCGTCCTCCCAAGGTGACCGGAACCCCTTCATTTTAGAAGGGAAACTGAGACTCCCGAAAGGGAAAAGGACACACAGCAAGAAAGTAACAGAGCAAGGGAATGGAAATCTCAATTTGCCTTTGTCTCTTAATGTTTCTGTGTTTCCTTCTCATGTACTTTTTCTCAGTACCTAATTGTTTTGGTTTGTTTATCCGTTAAAACCAGTCTCAAAATTGGAAAGTCCCTCAAAAGAAACACAGGATGTCCGAGTTGGGAGGGCCTTAGAACAGAGACTATCAGAGAACTGGAAGGGAGCTTAGAACCTAGAATGTAGTCACCT